TGGTTATGATTTTAACAAGTTACCCAAAATTTAAATTTAATTTAAATGATTTTTTAAAAAATTTAAATAAAAAAAAAAGCCATAATTTATGGTAATGATTTTAACAAGTTACCCAAAATACCCAGAAAAAAATAGGGGGGAGACACAACCCCCCCGAAAAGCAACAGTAAACAATAACTAAATAAATAAAAAGAAACAGGGAAAAAGATTTACCAACAATTTAAGCATATCACATACACATCAAATATTAAACGATACTTTAAAATTTCTAACTTAAAGAAAATAAATGCTTGCACGCTGCGGTTGCAAAATGTCATGAAATCTGTGCCAAGGGGAAACATATTTGATCATTTATTTTATTAGTAGATAAAATGGCCTTTCCAAAAACAGATAGATTACACATCTCCTGAATCTGTAGGAGGCGACCCAAGTTAGTCAATGGTGGCGAAAAAAGGCAGAAGCTTTCGTGAACTGCAGCAAAATGAACAAATAACAAAATAAGTAAATAATAAAGTGCGTTAGGTGGAAGAGGTGCAACCAAATTCCTCCTGACTTCTTTTACATCTCTTGCATATCAGGACTAATATGACTTTTCTAATTTCTCAAAATAATTCTCTTAGCAATACCCCATTGCTAAGGTCGTCCTCAGTTAGCAACCACAATTGGGACCTGCAGCCAGGTCATTGTGAGGCGGTCGCTAAGTGAAACCGCGACTGTGCTTATGATCAGCTTTCCTCTGCTTTACAGATCTGTGAAGGTCGTCAATGCGAGGATTGGTCACCAGGTGACTTTTTCATCACCACTGTAACTGCGAACGGTCACTAAACAAGGCAGTTGCTAAAGGAGGACTACCTGTATAGGCATTGTTCCTCTAAATGTAGTGATGGCACTCGGTCAGATGATTACCTGAGGCCGCACAGTCCAGTCCTATACATCAGTTAGCTGGCTGGCTAGGGAATTCTGGGAGTTGAAGTCCACACGTCGTAAAGTTGCCAAGGTTGAGAAACACTGCTACACGTGTTTGGTCATAGGGATGCTCAGGGGCGGAGTTAGAGATGCTGTCTGCACTGCCCGCTAGTGAAGGAAAGGTGGCACCCCAGGAAGAGCATCACAGCCAGGAAGATACACCTGGGCTGATCCATCAGCTAGCAAAGCCTGGGCGCCACACCCTCCCTGCGGAAACAGCGCTCTGCGATGCGCAGAAAAAAACAGGTAGAGCTTTCAGTGCGCCCTCGTGGCTGCCCACTTGACGCTTTTGACCACGCTCGGCAGACTCGCCTGCTGACCATAAGTAAAATGAACGAAATGAAAGCCTTTGAGCGGATACGGATGGCCAGGGTGGCGGGCGGGTGGACGGGTGAACTCTTCCATTTGAGAGGGATTCCTAGCGGATACATCTGAGACATTTTCTTGGCAGCAATAGGGACGTGGGTCGCCACGGCATTCTTCCATGACTTCTGTTTTGCTTTCCAATCTAGCCTGAAATCCTTGACTTTCTGAATCTCTGAAGAGAAAACAGGGCCGGCTCCGCTCCGCTTTCCGAGATCAGCCCAGCCGGCTAGGTCCTGCTCCCTAGCGGGGCGTGAATATTATATAACAATCGTCATCCTATTAGCAGAATAATATCCGGGTGTTTTCAGGTCCTTGAATGAAAGCAGGTTTTCATCTCAGAATCATTAACCCTGCCAAGGCTCTCTGCGAACCCTGCTCTTGTGACCGGCTTGGATCCTCCCGGGAAATTTCTCGGTAAAAGTTGACAAGCGCCTAGCACCGAAGGCTTCTAGAATCCGGAAACAGCCAGAAAGGAACAAGATTCACAAACAGACGTAGCTTGATGGTTGGATAAACCCATTTTCTATATTTCGACCAAACAGTGAACCTCAGACTAAGCAGATAGGCTGGGTTCGTGCAAGCCCCTGAGCCACAAAAAATAACCCAGGTGAACCCTAAACCAAAATTGAGGTGCTTAACTGACCGGACTACGTGTGCTGTGTGAACACAGCCTCCACCTCATCGACATCCAAAAATGTGACTTTCCAAATCCTTTCTGCTTAATTTTCACCGCGCCACCAAATTCTTCACCTTTCCCTTTCCCAGGATGGACCTACTCTGGTTCGCCCTCTGGTACAGCATGGAAAAATAATCAGATGCCGTCTAGGTGCTTTGGACTCTGGCTCCCATCGGCTCCATCCTGTATGTCTAACAACAAGAGATGATGGACATTGTAGTACAATGGGAAGGCAGCACAGGTGGTGCCTTGACCCGCGGTCAGGAGCAATTGCATGGGTGCCGAATGAGTAATCTGGAATAGGCTACAGCTAGGAAGGCTTCCTCAGGCTGGTGTCCTCCAGATCTTTTGGACTACAATTCCCATCCATCTGAGCCTGGGAAAGGCTGGAATTGGAACGAAGAATTTCCAGCAGTGTTTCTCAACCTCGGCCACTTGAAGATGAGTGGACTTCAACTCCCAGAATTCCCTATGCTGGGGAATGGACATGCTGGCTGGGGAATTCTGGGAGTTGAAGTCCACCCGAGGCTGAGGTTGAGAAACACAGTAGGGTGAAGTCAGCAGCTGCTGATCTGTGTTGTGCTGCCCCCTGTGGCCAATCTCTGCATTGCAGGAGCAGATTCCTGAAGGACTTTTCCGGGGCTTCAGCAGATTGTCCTGGGCGGCAGTTCCCATCATCCTTGGCCCTGGAGAAGTTGGCAGGGGTGGTGGTGGATGGGAACTGTCATCGTAATGCTCTGGAGCATGCTAGGTTGGAGAAGATGGCTGTAAAGTGCCATAGTAGCTATTTTCCAAACCGCAAAAAGTAACTAATTATGCAAAGGCTATATTATAATAAATATAATATTCTATCAAAATATGATATTAAAATATGATGTTCTATTTAAAGGACATGTATAATAATTATGCAAAGGTTTCAAAGCTGAAGACCAGTATTCGTATCCAAAGCAACTTCCAAAAGAGAAGAATGGTGAATTAATTTCTTCTTTGACCGGCAGTCATCGTCATCGTTACCATCTTCCCTAATTATTGTTATTTTTGTAAATATTTCTTGCCTTGTCAAGAGGCCGTATTTCATTTGAATGGGGCATTCCTCTATTGCCAGCTTCCCCAACAGAGTGCCCTCCAGTGTTGGATCAAACCCCCTTTCAGCCCAGATCTGAATGGCTGTTTCACTGATTTTACAGTCATGGTGAGCCAGGCTGGATTTTAGCATCACGGTCAGGGCTTGGTCGTCTGCGTGAGGAACTTATACACAGGTCAGGAAGCCACAGTACGGGCAAAACGGGGTGAATCAGACTGGCTCCAGGTTGGCAAAGGAGGGCAACCAGGCTGCATCTTCTCCCCTTATTTATTCAATCTATATGCTGAATATCAACCTGAACAAGACTGAAGTACAGCCGGTGCCAAATACCAGCCCCATAGAACAGTGTCCCTCAACCTTAGCAACTTGATGATGGGTGGACTTCAACTCCCAGAATTCCCTAGCCAACCATGGTTGGCTGGGGAATT